GGTTCCACCCCAACAGCAATTAGTCTCTGATTAAGCTTGGCCAAGTCTGAACCTTGTGGGCACTTAATGAGTTGATGCTTATTGTGACATTGGTCCATCTCATAGCACTGAAGTTTAACAAAGTTTTCAATCTTCCAAATTCTTGTAGTCAGAATTTTCATGAAGGAGCTAAGAAAATGATGTGAGATAGCTAACAAATACGGAGTACTACGTAATATATGTGCCTCATTTTGTGGTCAAAGAGATCCAAATGAGCAATGTAATCGCCCTTACTATGAAAGAAAGGAAAATGTTATAAAGAATCACAAAGTAACAACAGACCAGAAGGCCCAATCATTTTTACATTAATTAAAAAAAGGTATGGATGTCTATTCACCACACTCAAGCCCATATACAGCAGAGTAACATACGCAGATTGTAGGTAGAGAAGTAATGTAATGAATCGTGTAGTTGTAGATATTACCTTCACCGTTTAAAAGTACAAGACCAATCACCATTAAAACAGGATGAACCTGCAGAAGTCACATAGAAAAACAGACATGAATACATGATATGAGCATGGAAATGGGAATATACAAAGACTGTTTTAATCCTTCATCAATTGGGTCACGATACAAGAAGCTACTGTGTTAATTAGCCCTAAAATGGGACAGAATAAAAATCTTGACTCAAACCAAGAGCATATCCAGCTAAGAATTGGAAGCAAAGATCCGAGGAAAGGAAATTACATTGAAGATGAGATCCTTGTTTTCGGAGATGAGGGCCAATCCTCCCCTGTAACGCATGGTCCACGTAATGACCATAGCCGCCACTGCGATCCCTATGATCCTGACCATCATGAAGATCGGAAATTTTACTGCCGGCACCGCCATTGTTGACCCCTTTTTTATCAATGGCGAATTCACTGACTCTAAACTCTTCCAAATAATCCTATTTAAGGTTTTGCAATTCTTCTGATTGGAAGATCAGAGCTCAGATGTGTGAGAGGGGCTGCCCTACGATCATCCTTTGCACGCTGAATTGGGAGTTCTGTACACGTCAAGCACGGGAATCCAATGTTCTTTAGTCTTTACTGAGGAATTAAGGGATTGTAGGGTAATACTACAGATGACTCCCGCACTAACTAAATCTGTTGAATTCTCTTAAAGTAAAAGTAAAAGTGTTTTAAGTTAGGTGCTGTTCTATTCGTCTTATTCTTATTACTTATTACTTATTCTTATTTTATTCAGATCAGATCAGATCAGATCAGAAAAATTCAGATCAGATCAGATCAGAAAAATTCAGATCAGATCAGATCAGATCAGAAAGATTCAGATCAGATCAGATCAGATCAGAAAGATTCAGATCAGATCAGATCAGATCAGAAAGATTCAGATCAGATCAGACCAGATCAGAAACATTCAGATCAGATCAGAAACATTCAGATCAGATCAGATCATATCAGAAAAGTTCAAACATGATTTATCACTTTTATTATTATATTAATTATTATTATTAATATTGTTATTACTATTATGATTATTATTATATAATTATTATTAATAATATTAATAATAATATGATAAAAAAATAAGATATTAATATAGTTATAATATTTTAATATAATAATAGTAATATAAATGCAATTATTAAGAAGACTATTATTATTATTACAATATTATAATAATAATAATATGATTAATATTATTATAATATTATATTGTAATTATATGTAATTATAATTATACTTACAATTATAATTCTTATAATTATAAGTATATCAATTGTAATTATTTTAATTATATCTATAATTAATTATAATTATAATTGTAATTAATTATAATAATTATAATTACAATCATAATTATAATTATGATTATAATTATAATTATAATATAATATTATAATAATATAATACTAATTATAATATTATTATTATTATTATGTTATTTTAATAATAATATTAATATACTAATATCGTTATAATAATATTAATTGTATTTATATTACTATTATTATATTATAATATTATAATTAATGTTAATATAATTATAATTATTATTAATTATAAATATACTTATAATTATATTATAGTTATAATTTATGATTATAATTATTATTTTTATTATAATTATTATTGTTATTATTATTGTTACTATTGTAATTATTTTACGGAGTAATTATAATAATATTGATAACTATAGTTACAATTATAGAGATAAATATTGTAATTATAATTACAATTATAATTATATAAGTAATTATAATTAAAAATATAATTACAATTATAATTATATCTATATTTATAATTAGTGTAATATGTATAAATTTTTTCATTTTAAATTTAATTTTAATTATTATTATTTTTATTTTTATAGTTACGATTATAATTATAATTTTATTTAAGTTATATTTGTAATTGCAATTATAATAATTATAATTATAATTATAATCATAGAAATATTCAAATCAGATCAGATCAGAAAGATTCAGATCAGATCAGAAGGATTCAGATCAGATCAGAAACATTCAGACCAGATCAGAAACATTCAGATCAGATCAGGAAGATTCAGATCAGATCAGAAAGATTCAGATCAGATCAGATCAGATCAGAAAAATTCAGATCAGATCAGATCAGAAAAATTCAGATCAGATCAGATCAGAACTTAAAAAATTCAGATCAGAAACATTCAGATCAGGCGAAGAGAACAGCTTCTTAGACTAGTGAAATAAGTATGCTAAAAGATATTTATTCTGCTTGTAAACTAATAAACCATAATGGAAATTTTGGGGATTAAGATCTTCTACCTTACTCTCAAATGGATGGCGGAGATTAAAAACCAAACCTCCAGATTCGTGTAAAAAATGACTTTTAAAAATGACTCATTTTCTGATCAAGGGTTTTCTGTCTAACCCTTGTTCAAAGAGTGGGAGAGCCGTTTGGCTATGCGGAGCCTCATAGAGAGGTTTGGCATTTCGTGATTGTGGGATTGTTGTTATCTTTAATTGTTATCCCAAAAAAACTTTGTCAATTTCAAAACTTTGATCATCCATATTTTTTTATTGAAAATTATTTATAATATAGAAATTATATGAAAATGTTCTTTGTTAAAAGTACTTTTATAAAAGTATAAAATTATTAACACCTATAATATTATACTAATCAAAAATCATGATTTAAATTTTTAGAAATGGCAAAAAATTTTGGGACGGTAATTAGTTTCCTTTAAAAAAAACAAATTACAGCACTTTACAGTGTGTACAACTACTGTTTAGAACAGAAAAGAATACTGTGTTGTGATTGATATTTAACTACTACGTATTTTGAGTAAAAACTGATGAGATTAGTTTTGCCAAATGAAGAAAAATGAAAATTTAATTGGGAGAAAGGTAGTAATACAGAACCAGACTTTGATTCATCAATTGGAATTAAGCAAAATAGTGCACGTGTTCCTTATTTATATTTGAGAAAAGGGTCAAATAAGCTCGTTTACTAATTCAAAAACATCACATAAGCCCTTTTACTCAAATAAGCATTATCTACACCTCTTTACTCCCCAAAATCAATCAATAAGGCCAAGTGACCTGAGTAAAAATAAATAAATGAATGAACGAACAAATAAATAAAATGAAAACGAAAAAATGAGGAACAAAAAAGAGAGAAAACCGGAGATAATAAAATAATCTTGATTAATGCAAAAGAGAATGAAGAAAAACGAAAAACAAAAGAAAGGTAACATGGAAGCAGGCCTGGACTCGGGCCGGGTGGCCTGACCCGGAACCGGCCCGAACCGACACTGTTCCGGCCCGGTGGCCCGGTCAGTGACCGGTTCGGGTAGGCCTGACCCGCTGGGGTTCCGATCCGGGCTCGGGCCCCTCAAAACGTGAACCGGCCCGACCGGTTCGGGCCTGGTCCGGGCCATTTTATTTTTTTTGTTCTTTTTTTTTTTAATTTTTTTTAAGTTTTTGGGTTGGGCCGAGTATTTTGGGTCATTTGGGATGGTTTGGGGGTGAGGGGTTAAGTAGGAAAAGGCAAAAAAAATAATAATACTAATCGAACCGAGGCCCGGCCCGACCCGACCCGGACCCGGGGGTTACCCCGTCCGGTTCCGAACCTCCCCTTTCCTGAACCGAGGCCCGGCCGGGGCCAGGCTCGAACTGGGCCCGAACCGGCCCGAGTCCAGGCCTACATGGAAGAGTCAAAGGGGACGCCCAGAACCAGCCTCCCCTTAGTGGAGAAGAAATAAGAAAAGAAAATGATGACCTGCTATTACCCGTAGTTGTTAGGTCACTTGGCCTCATTGATTGGTTTTTAAGAGTAAAGGTATCTGGATGATACTTTTTTAAGTAAAAGGGCTTATGTGGTGTTTCTGTATTAGCACACGGGCTTATCTGACCCTTTTCTCTTTATATTTCTATGGCTAAAGGGTCAAATAGGCCCTTGAACTGATTTAAAGTATTCAATTAGCTCCTTATATAGAAGGTTCAGCACGGCCGTCACCAATTGGGGCGGTTCCCGGTGGAATTTTTTTATAAAACTTTTTGAGCATCTTCTTCATTAAGTCTAGTTTACTCATACCAAATTTAAGCTAATAATTCAACCGGGAAGACAGTCAAATGATTTTTTGAAGATAACTGTGAAATTAAACAGCGCAGTACATTTCGGAAAATCATTTGTCTATCTTCCCGATTGAATTTTTAGCTGAAATTTAGTATGGGTAAACTACACTTAATGAAGAAGATGGTCAAAAAAATTCATCAAAATATTCCACCCCAATTTACGACGGCCAGGCAGAACCTCCTATATAAGGGCTAATTGAACACTTTAAGTCAGTTCAAGGGCCTATTTGACCCTTTAGCCTATTTCTATAACTGCCTGTTTTCATTGCTCAAATCTAACTATTAAACTACCAGAGCTAATACATTCCCCAGTTTCTAATTTCAAATCTAGTGTTCTAAAAAGCGTAAGATGGTCTGTAGGATTGACTAGATCTTAGCGCCTAGATGGAATCAGAATCTGGGCAGAACAGATCAAGAAAATATGTATTAGGAATGAACCGTTCATTTTGCAACTGGCAACAACAAAACATCACTTTTAACCTTCACGAGAAATGGGGCCATGAATCTGAAACGAACATTGATATAAAACCTATGCCACTGCAAAAAGTTAGCTAGTAATTAATAGTACTATTATCAAGTCAGGAAATGTCACATGAAGGAGCTCTCCTAACAAAAATGAAAACAATTAATCTCGGGGAAATCCGTCTAAACCCTAAATTGATGATACCTAGAAGTCTAGAACCAAATTTCTTGAATGGGGGTGGTAAGAGTGTATAACATCATCCTTGGTGCACAGAGCAGTCGTCACCTATATCTTGGGTACGAAAGAGATAAATAAGCACCGTCATCTGCTGCTAGTGGGCTTCTTCTTGCTCTGTCAGACAACGATCTCCTAAATCCATCTATTGGGACACCGCAATTGGAATCATAATAATCCTGGTGTCTGTATGAAAATGGGTCGATCTCACCGAAATGGCCCATATGCCGCCATTCATCATTGAAGCCTAACTGCCGCCGTGGATCGCCTTCCCCTTCACCCCCCCTATACCACCCATGTCGACGAGCTTCTTCTTCAGAATTGCTGTGCCACATCCTCATAGGAGATTCATCTTCAAAATCTCGGAACCACTGTGTCGGGCATCCTTCAGCTTCCAAATCCCTGAACCGCTGATTCAGAGGACCTTCATTGTTGATACTCCGAACCCACTTCCTCATGGAAGCCTCCTCTTCAAAATCTCTAAACCACTGCCTCGGACAACCTTCTGCTTCAAAATCCCTAAACCGCTGACTTACTAGGCCTTCGTCTTCAATACTCCTAAACTGATGTGGTGGAGGTCCCTCTTCTTCAAAACTCCTAGACCTTTGGGGTCCAGTTGGGATGCGGAATATCCTAGGGAAAGATGGTAGGGGTAAATTTTGAAGGAAAGAAAATGCAGATGATGAAAACACTATTTCAAACTTGAAAAAAACTATATTAAATATTTGTTCTATTAATTTATTTCTATCATATAAATACTAAAAATATAACATGTGTAAAAAGCATTATAAAAAACAATCATGTTTCATTTTCATTGCAATATTTGTGGTAAATCCAAAAACAAGAGAATAACTCTCCTTCACATTTTAATTCATTTCCATAGCATTTTAGAGATCAAAACATAGTCTTTGGATTCATTTGGATCCCGGTAAAATAACTATATAAAGGAAATAGAGATGAAAATTGAGAAGAAATGAAAAAATGGGGGGAAGTTTAGAATAGACTCAAACTCAATCAAGTTAGATTTTTTCATATTCTTTTTATTTAATTATTCATTTCGGTTATATAAAGACAAAGAACTCTAAATGTACGAAGTGTATTATTCTATGCGCTTTCCGAGGTAAAGGCGAACAAAATAAAACAACTTCCCCTGGACTTTCTTTCATTTATATAGTAGTTTCAGTTATCCAAACATACCCTTGCTGCTCAAGATCATGGCCTCTTTTGACAGTATCTGGCGTTGTATTAGCATGTCTTCTATAAGAACGAGCTCTTGAGGCTATAGAACTTGAGGGGCCTACACCCCAATGCCGTTTATCTACATTTTCGGGAATCGGAGCATTTATCCCTGGAAATCTAACGCTCATTTTCTTAGGTGGCTCTGCCGATCTCTCAAGAATTTCTCTGGCATCTGCTTCTTCCGTAGTTTCATCATTGCCAAATATTGTGATTCCTGATGGCAGATTATCTTCTTCGGGATCTAGAAAATTTTAGGACACAAGGAATGAAAAAACCAATATACTTTATCATGATCCAGGCAAAAGTGGCAAAACATAATAAGCCTAAAAAGAAAGTTGTAGTAGCAGCTTGGGTTGGTCCATTGATTCATGTTAAAAATCGCTTGAGATGTAGTGAACATTTTCCCGTGTTTCAGCAACCAATATTTTCATCAAAAAACTAATGAAACAAAAGTAGTGGACGAGTTGCTCTTTTTTGCTGAAATTTATGAAGTTGCGCCTTAGCCTTCATTTTACATATTTGTTTTTAAAATTTTTTAAAAAAATATATCTATCATTGTGATAATTGAACCGATTCAGTCATTTAAGGCCTTACCGAGTAGACTTGAAGAGAAAAGAGGGGGGATAAAATATCTGAGAAAAGTTTACTTACCTAGATAACCTGGTGGATATCCTATTTCCCGCATTCTGTGAAGCCAGGGAGGGGGGTCAAGCTCCTGAATTGAAGGAAATAATCCCAAAGGTTAGAAAATGAACACTCCAATGTTGTTTGATATTAAAAATCCTGAGCTCACCCCTAGGCCCAAAAGTTTCCGGGTTTCTGCATCAAGAATGCCTGGGCTTAAACCATCATACTTTCCCCTTTCAGAGCTTTGATAATACCGAATGCGAGAAACTGCATTTAGGTTCAGTTTGGATCTGTGCTGTTTCCTAGCGGAATTGACAGCGACAGAATCACGAGGCTTCTTGCAATCTTTCATCGAATGGCTATAGGAGTTACAATTAAAGCAACGGGAAGCTTCAACCAAGGTAGTCAAACTCGAGATCCTACGTAGGATCGGAAATTGGAATAAGGATCGTAAATCGTAGGATCGTGACTCGGATCGTAAGATCCTACAAAATATGTACTTACATATACATATACATATATATGTGTACATAAATATATATACTATGTATACATATAATTAGAAAATAAATATAATTGATAAAATAATAATATAATTGACCAAAGTGTATATATATGAACATATGTATACATATAATTGATAAAATAATACATATAATTGATAAATACAGTCAGTAAGCTGTATTATAAGTTTATAGCACCTAAGTGACCTAACAGATACAATAATAATAATAATTTAAAGTAATGCGCTCCTGATAAAATAATCTAACTTCATTTTACTCAATAAGTACTAAGTTGTACTCCGTATTATAAGTTTATAACACCTAACAGATACTACCTCCGTCCCAATTTAGTTAGTCAATCTTGACTTTTCCTGTCAAAGGTGGTACACTTTGACCAATTATTTTAACTAAGATATATATATGAAAAAATTAATAATTCTATACTTTTATAATAGTATTTTCAACAAAGAACATTTTTATATAATTTTTATATTATTAATATTTTTTCTATATAGATATATAATCAGTCAAAGTTAGGTATCATTGACTTGAAAAAACAAGTTTGGCTAAGTAAATTGGGACGGAGGGAGTATAATTTAAAGTAATCTGTTCCTAATAAAATTATAATGATGCATATTGTGAAGTATTATATACGGAGTAGTAAGAAAGATAAAATACTAGTAAAGAATTAAAGTATTAAATTTAAAATTAATATATACCCAGGACTCCAGGAGTACTACGTAATATACTAAATCGCCTGCGCTTCACAAACGAATTAAGTCAACGAACGTTCGAGTCTTCCCCAGAATGAACACTCTCGCACTTGTCGTGGACCAATCAGAACCGGGAGATCGATGTCGACCTTTTAGTCTTTGACGCAGAGCCGGAGCCATGGAGGCCGTTGACTGACCCAATCGGACCTGACAGTGGAGGTCGCCGGGAAGAATTTGGTTGCAGAGAAGAATTTGAAGCGACAGACATCTTCTTTCAAACTCTCGAACGTTTTCCACTGATTCCAGATGTTTCGAACCCTTTCTGTTGACGATTCGCGTGGCCTGATTTTTTTCCCTATTTTTCTTCAACCATCGCAAAAGAATCGGCGACTCTATACGAGCCTACGCGTTTACGAGCTTACTCGGCGATTCAACCGTTCCTAAATATTTTACGATTTTCACTAGGAACGGGATCGCAGGTTGGGTTGTGAAGCGTAAACTCGTACGAGCCTACGAGTTGACTCGCGATTTTGACTACCATGGCTTCAACTAGTTCCACTCCTCTGCATACACAAGGTGAGGCCTACATTGTGAGAAAATCGCACCAGAAAACATCAATTGAAATAGTACTACCTTTTCCCCGGCTCAAGGTTCCCCTTAAAAATGACATGGTTTTTAGACAATTATTAAATAAGGTAATTTGAGTGTATTGATTTTTTTAGAAGTAGTTTGGGTGGGCACTAGAACAGATACTATAATAGGTTAGAAAGCATAGCCAAAAAATAGTAGTTTGGGTGGGTATATAATATAATGGGGTCATTGATGATAACCAATGATGTTATATTATACTATTAGCATGGTTGTCACAGCGTCGACTAGGCGTCGCCTAGGCGCCGACTAGGCGTCCCGGCGATGGAGAAGCATCGACTTGGGAGATCGACTCGCCAGAAGATGACCAGTCGCGTTTGGCATCGCCAAGGCGTCGTCCTGGCGTGAACTTGGCGACTTGTGGCCGCCTATTTTAGCCCAGTCGAAAGTCGTCCGCAGGCCCAAAGCAGATTAAGGTTTAATTTTTTTAGAAACACATTTAATTAAGGTTTTAAGGCGGTGGCCTTCTAATTAAATACACAGCCCGAAGCCATCGATTAACTCACAGAGTCACAGAGAAGCAACGAATTGACTTCAGACGGCAGAAGAAGTTGCCGGTCAAGCCAATAGCCAACTCCCTGTCCCGGCTGTCCGTCGTTGAAGCTTGAAGCATACTACGAGTCTATGAGTCTATGACACAGTCCACTTAAGTAACTTGAGTCCACCAATTTCTTATCTAATCTTATCTTTTATTCTCTAGGGGTGTAGTGGATTTATTTTTTTAATATGGTAATTATATAGATACTATAAAAGAATAAAACAATTAATTTATAAATATAGTGTAACATGTTGATATAGACATTAAACCATTAATTTATTCTACTGGTGATATACTGAATATTGATATGCTCGCATATTAGTTTAATAATAAACTCTTAAACCATTAATTTATTATATATTTATATGTTACTCCGTATAAAGTATGAAATATTTAAACCATTAATTTATTATATGTTATAAAATAATAAACTATTAAACTATTACAAAAATATTTTTTATATAATTAGTTAATTATGTATACAAAAGTTCAACCTTTTGAGAACTTAGTAGTGTGATCTTTACGCTGCTTATTTGAGATATACATTTTTATCTTAATTCTCATTAATAAACCTTGTTTTTTTATTATTAATTGTGGATTTCAATTCTAAGTTATATACATTTTAGTCAATAATATACTATACATAATATATAATTATATCTTTAATATATAATATAATTTACACATATAGGCGACTAGTCGCCTAATTGTGGCCTAGGCGGGCGCCTTGTCGCCTAGGCGATATGGCGGTCAGCTGGCGCCGCGACTCGACTTACCGCCGTGACAACCATGACTATTAGTACATGAACAGGTACGCCAGTGTGTTGAGATCCAAAAGACACAGCACATGTTAAGGAGTTGTGGCTCAACCCTTGAGCTACAAATACAAGGTACGTAATAAAAATTCATGGCTTGATTATGGAGCCACCAAAAACATGACATAGTATGCCTCTTGGCTTGATCCTTTAGCAGCCAAAGACAAGGTACATGTTACATACTCATGGCTTGACTGTTGAACTACCTACCAAAGACTTTGGTACATGGTGAGTAGTTGTGGCTTAGCCATGGAGCTCCTAAAGAGAAGGTACACAGTACGCAGTTGTGGCTTGATTTTGAAATTACCAAAGACACATTACATGGTATATTGGTATGCAGTTGTGGCTAAACCGGCATTACCTTGGAGCATCCCAAGACACGGTAAATGGTATGCAGTCAAGAACAACTTGACTGCATAGCAACCAAAAACAATATACCAAGAACTAAATGTATGTGGTTTCTCCAAGACGAGGTACACATTAATGGCTTGATTATGGAGCCACCAAAGACACAGTACTATGGTATGCTGTCTGGGCTTGATCCCAGAGCATCCCAAAGACAATGGTACATGGACGTATTGACTATGGTTTGACTGTAGAAGTGTGGAACGACTGTTGTGTCTTTACCGTGGAGCAACCAATTACAATATACATAACAGTCATGGCTTGACCATCAAGCTACCAAAGACACAATACATGATACAGGATTGTGGCTTCACCACTATCCCTAAAACAAAGTACGTGGTACACTTCCATGGCCTGGACACATCATGACATGGACATGGTGTATGGCTAGCAGCCTAGCGCAAGATATTCAGAATTAAGAATACATGAAACTCATGGGGAGCTTATACATGGGATGACATGTAGGGAAACTATAGCCATTGCATAGCTAGAAACTACCGAAGTGCATTCAGCTTACATGGTCAACATCACATCCGCAAATGACGGCATAGTAACTACTGGTAAAACACAGCAAAGTCGCACCATTATCCAAATAGTAAAGATTCCCTAATTTGCACCATATAGTCATAGACTCATAGATTCTCTATTTGCACAGTATATTTCCGGATAGTCAAAATCGGTTCAGCAGCGACAAGTTGTATCGCAGAAATGACAAAATTGACAAGACAGTTGGGGTTTGTGATCTGCTTTGAGGTTGGAGTGGATAATGCTTCGTCCAGTGTTATGCTATTCTTCGTCTCTGTGATGATGAGTTGGAGGAATTATCCTTCTACTGCAGATGGAGAAGGAATTTTGTAATGGTCGGGATGACAGAAAGTAACGAGGGAGATGATTTGTTTAAAAGGTGATTGCATGTACTGTACTCCCTCTCGCTAATACTCCTCTCGACTTGGGAAGTGGGGGGTTTGTGATGCTTATTACCGGCCCAATATGAATTTGTGGGCATCGATCCATCCCATCAAACCTGGAGATATTACGGACTAAGCCTGAATATAATGTATATGACCCATATATAGCATGGTTCATGGTAGATAGTTAGACATGGCTAAGGACATGACATGGGAGGCAATTGCACGAGTCGTGGTGGATAAGGCCAAGTCAAATCTCTGTGGCAGCCATGGTCCAAGACGTGACACGGAATGTATATTGCTTATGACGAAGAGCGAAGGGTGCTATCAAGAATGAGGAGTTGAAAAACAATATACGGACGCGATCCTCACCATGGAAGTATTGATTGCTTGTACATGGAAGAGGGTACACAGAGCAGGTTCATGGTACACAATTGTGGCTTGACAATGGAGCTAACGAAGACACAGTGCATGGGGTTGTGGCTTGGCTTGGAGCTCCCAAAGACATGGTACGCGGTCATAACTTGACTGTGGAGCTACAAAAGACACGGGGTACATAGTGTGTTGTCATGGCTTTGCTGTGGAGCTACCATACGAGGTACATTGTATGCAGTAGAGGCTTGTTCATAGAACTCTAGAAGAAAGAATACATGGTGCTTGGTCAACTGATGACATGTAGGGCAACCATAGCCAAGGCACATATTGAAACTCCTAAAGTATTGTTAAACACCACTTACACAGTCAACAACAAATCCCACAAATCAGGACACAGTAGCGACATCAATAAAATAGTAAAGTTTCCTTTGTTTTGCACTACAAAAATAAACATTACTTTGTACTTTCATTTACTTTCGGCAAAATGTGTTTTCTGATGGGCGATTACTCGGGCTATGACATAGTCAACTAGTGTGCTTACACGTTCCTCTCCAATACACAGAGTTAATCGCCAACTAGCAGCTACTTCAGGATTTTCATGACTCGTAAATTGGTTTACTCACATGTAACTCAGTCAATAACTGATTTTTTTTGTTAAACCTGGAAAATTGAAACTAAAGTTGCATACAATGGGGTTCAAAAATAACTAGTGACTATTTACAAAAAAAAAAAAAAAAAACATCACAAAGTCTGGATTTTTAGAAGGATTTGATTATTTCACAAATCGAAAATTCCAGTGGCAGCTTCCTTTTTTCCTCATCTTGTTATTCTTCCTCCTCTTCTCCTTCTTCATGTTCTTCTTCAACCTCTTAAATCTCATCAGTGTTTTTTCTTTCATATAAATACATACTACATTTTCCATCATTTATAATGGAGCCAAAGACTCGCTGTTTTTTGTTATGAAACAATTAGCAATGGTCAGTCCATGTAATTTTTTACGCGATTTTCACCATGGGTCATCCGGAAACAGCCTCTTTGTGCTTTAGTACATGGGCAAGGCTGCGTACATCAGGTGGGAGCCTTTGCGGCACTGGGGTAATGACGACGAATGACGACAATGGATAAATACATACTACCTCTGTTTTTTTGTTATAAAACTTTGTATTTCATGTGTGTCAACGCACCACTTTGACCATTAATATATTTATTTGATGCCTAACAGTTTAAATCATAGTAAGAAAACATTTTAGTACACACTTATACTTTTAAAAAATTATATTTTTTAATAAATTAGTAAATAAAATGTAGTCGCAGTAGAGTATGTGATTAGTATAAAAGTCAAAGTGTTACAACTAATAAAGAACGAAGGAAGTATATAGTTGGTAGTAAGGAATTTTGGGGGCTTCTAATGTTGGTGAATCTGCTAATACTGCGCTTAAGAGGAAATCAGATGATATAGAATAGACATGAGGAATTAAGAATTATTAGATGATCAGTGTTCTAGGAAAGTTGGAAAGTTTATGGTTTATAATTTATACTCCCTCTGTCCGTTGTTTCCATCATTTGTAATGGAGCCAACGACTCGCTATTTTTTGCCTTGGGAATATGATGGAATAAAGCAAAATGGCTCATTAAACTGTCTGCGATTCTTTATTATGAAGCAACGCTCAGTCCATGCAATTTTCGACGCGATTTTCACTATGGGTCATCTGGAATCAGTCTCTTTGTACTTTAGTACAGGGGTATGACTGCGTATTTCCGACCCCCATACCCCACCGTTAATGGGACCCTTTGCGGCACTGGGGTAATGATAATGATGATGATGATGACTCCCTCTGTCAGTCTGTCCCTTGAAACTTTGTCATTTTTGAACCTTATGGTCAACCTAGTTAAACTTTAACCAATGATATATTTTTATAGGAAATTAGTTATCATACAAAAATGATATGAATATGTTTGTTCTTAAAAATACTCTCATAAAAGTAATAAAATTTATAACTTTCAAAAAATTATAATAGTCAAAATCATTGCCCAAATTTTACCATTATTGACTTGAAAATTCAAAGATGGCAAAGTTTTAAGGGATGAAGGTAATAGTGCTTAACTATTCAGATTATTCGTTCTTGTTCGATACTTCGTATATAAGACTTTATAGACTAATATTTTACTAGAATTTTTTGGTGTGTGTGTGTATGTATACACACACACACATATTAATGCAAGACTGAGTAACCACCGCATAATCCCAAGTACTCGGTCCTACTCATTGCTAGGCCCTTAACCGGGTAGCGACTTAACTACTTAGTCGGCAACTCTAATAAATCCAGTGGAATTAGTCCTGTCAAAAACTATTTAATAAACTTAAAGAATATAAGATAAAATTGAAGATGTGATCCACTAATAGTAACTAGGAAAGGTAAAATGTGATAGAGGGAGTACTAAAACATACCCTTCCAAATTATTAGAACCGTCTGATGAATTCAAAGCAATTGTGACCCCACGGTCATAAATAGGGCCAGAGTTTGCATCAAATGGGGTGAACACCTTGTTCTTTTTCTTCCTTGGTAGATCCATCCAAAAAGACTAAACATGAAAGAGTAGAATCGTAATCACATTAAAATCTCATTAAACTAGTGAAGAGTGAGCTTTTGATTAGTTGATTAAGGATAGATACAGTATTCTTTGACTCACATTATCTTTTTAGATACAATATACAAGAAATCTATACTACTACCTCTGTATCAACATAACTGTCCCATTTGCTTTTTTACGTAGATTAAGATAAGTAAGAGGTTTTTTGGTATTGTAGTTGTACTCTAGTTGTATTGTAGCTGCCTTTTAGGGGAAATTAATTTCCAAAAGGGGAAATGGGACAAATAATTTGATACAACCCGAAAAGGAAACTGGGACAGTTATTTTGATACGGAGGGAGTATAAAACATACCACTGCAGAAGTCTTATTATCCATACCAACACGAAGAGCAGGGAAATAAGTCTTCTCACCAGCTTCTAACACTTCTGCATCCTAAGTAAAAGAAATACAGTCCACTGTTAAATTTGCTTGCCCCACTTATGTTTAATTGTTGTTTTTGTTATTCCTTTTTCTTTCTATTTTCTTCAGTCAAATTGTTTGCACGAACTTCAGTCAAATTGTTGAAAAACATTCAAAGGAAATCTTTATATTAGTTTCTATATATTTTTTATGAAAGTTAAAAATATTCCACCATGGCCAGAAGGACCTGAAAATAAGAGTAGGAACAAACACTAGTTGATCACAAGCTATTAAAGATTAAACTCACATGTATTGAATGACTGTGTTCAGCACACCATTGTGACCACTGCTGTAATACCTCCTCAAGCTTATGCTTTCTCTCACTTAGAAACCATTACGAACTTATCAGAGTTTGAGAAATTGAACTTTTACAAAGTAACCCTTCACATTATAGAGGTAGCATGTAGCAAGAGAACTACGCTAATTATAAAACAGAATACGTTCACGGTTCACATAAATAACACACAAGAGACATAAGAGAAACTGATTATTTAGGGTTTTTACCTGGTTAGGGCATTATAAATAACGTGAACTGATGGTTGCTCTTCACCAAGGGCTGTTCTTGGTCTTTTGGCACCAGGTGCTGCTGATAGGTCACATTCAGAAAGGGGGGATTTTGAGTGATTGAGTTAAATGGTTAAAACAATACTTGTACAATGTGTATAAGTGTGTGTGCATAAACTCATAAAGTATTAGGATATATAGTCGCAAAACAGCTCATGAAATAGTAAAGAGATAAGGTCATTGAATTTCCCAATGAGTCCTCAAACTATATTTTCCTATGTAGGACTGAAGTCCACTTTGAGCCATCGGCTTTTCAAAATGGGCCAAATTCCCTCTAAAATGTACGGAATATTAATTATTGTATATTGTATTTTACATAAAAGGTATTTTGGACAAACTCTGGTAGTTTTTAAAAACTTGGTTGTGCAGAATCGGAATCGTCAATCAAGGATCAGAAGTGAAAACGTCACTACCGTCGGGAACCAAAATTGGTATGACTCCATTTAGCAGCAAAAGTGTGAAAATAAATTACCGCTTCGATCAATATTTGGGCTCTGCTCTTGCTGTTGACCGCCGATAGTATCGTCAATATTGATTTCATCCTGAACACTTACAAAGCCATTCTCACCAATAACGGAACTGAATGAAGCCACTTTCTCAAAAAATTTGCCATCTTCTGAAGCTAAACTGAAATGGTTCCCTTTAATTCCATCATTGCCTCCATTTTCAAGAACTTCTCCATTTGCACCCTTGTCCATAGTATTAGCTCCATACAGGAGAGCCAAACTTGGTTTACAATCATAATCTTCACCGCCATCATTTTCAGGTTCAATACCAGATTCATTTAAAATAGGCAGGTTAATTGTATCCTCAGTTTCCATGTCAAATGGTCAATGGATTCGTTTTAGCAGCTCCAGCACAACTTAGATGACTAGAAATCCTGGATAAAAATTACAACATGATCATAATGACAATATCTTTACTGAAGACTTTCACTATTTTGAATACATTTAGAACCTATGCATACAGTAGCAAATGTAGTATGTAATGATTAGACTCTAGATCAGTAGATCGGTTTATGTATGTATATCTTGCATCACATATGACCTTTTGGAAGAATATAGGCTATATCGATCAGTAAGTATCCATCATCCCATATACCCATCAAGCAACACCCCTTAACAGTGTTTTCTTCAAGTGAGGGGAGGAGATATATAATTATATATTAATATTCACCTCTTTTGAATGTATTAGAGAGGGGGTCAGGGGAAGTAAAGGAAACAAATTTAGCGCTACATTTTATGGTTAAGGAGAGTCTGCAGAGGTGTTAAAATTATACTCAATACAACGTTTAAATAGAAGATCTTACTGTATCATATCTAGTCGCAGATAGACCATTTTTTACATACTAAATAAATATAATATGAATCTGAACAATATTTTTATCCATATTTGCAACTAAATAGACAACTAATTCAAACTATTAATTTCTTTTCACTAACCTCAATGTAATTTACTTAAGGATTAAAGTTATGACGATTAAATGTTGTTCACAAAGTACATAGTTGGTATAACGTTAAGAATATTTATAACATATTTAAACATTAATCGTGTTTCTTTAAGATACATAGGATTATGAATTTTCATCTTCATGGTGATAAGATAATTTTTCCAACATTTGCAATGGAGACTCACTATTTTTTAGCTTGGGAATATGATGGAATAAAGCAAATGGCTCACTAAACTGTCTGTGCTTCTTTGTTATGAAGCAGCCATCAGTCCATGCAATTCTCAACGCTGTTTTCATTATGGGTCATCCGGAAACAATCTCTCTTGCCCCACTGTAGGTGGGAGCCTTTGTGGCACTGGGGTGATGATGATGATAAGATAATAGAGATGTGGTGAGAAAGAAGGTGCATAGAGATGTGGGACACATCATACATTGCAACAACTATCCTAAATAAACTGCCCAGCACAACCTAGACCATGATTAGAGATGGCCGGCCTCTCCAATATGCCTCCAATATGCCTGCGACTTTTCCTTGGTTCCGCCCCACCTAAGTCATGATTGATTCACGCCCAAGTGCCTAGTCAACCTCTTAGGGCCACCTAGAGTGTTTAGAACACTTGATGCAACTCATGCAACCAAACAAAGATTTATACATAGGATGGATAATTTAGTCTTATTCATGGGTCATCCGGAAACAGTCTCTTTGTGCTTTAGTACAAGGGTAAGGCTGCCTACATCTAACTCCTCCTTATCCCACCATAGGTGGGAACCTGAATGTTGTTGTTGATGATGATGATAGGTAATTTAGGTTTACTGCGAAACCACCCCATCCTACAATACACCACTATTTTGTAAAAGTAGAAAAACTACTTCATCTCGTTCACAAAGGGTATTTGGTCCATAACATGTTGTGATGCAATGCATATTTTGATGAAGATGACATTTGTGATCATTGAGGAAAGACCTACATCTGCTAAAGTCAAACTACAGGAGACCATTGCTCTCCCAACGGTTCATCGTATGCAAGGGAGGATAGTTGTGTCGTATTTATTAAGGTTTGAGATAATTAGGTATGGGAGGCGGTGGATTATAATTACTACTAAGACGTGCCTCAATGATACGTGGCGTGTGGGCAGGTGTAAAAAAATTAAGTTTTTGTGGAAAGATCTAGAATGTTGTGCTGATTTATTGTTTTAATAAAAGTACTTTTCGATTTTCACAGCATTATTTATACAAATGTACTCCGTATATACTCAGTATTTGAATTTGTTTTGAATATAATAAAATAACTGTTTTTAAAAAAACGATATGTAATCACCCAAAACCTCTTCAAATCGAAAATATGTTTCCCGTTTTATTGTTCCAATAAAAATTAATTTGCTGGAACACTGTAGATTATTTTGCCTACTTTTTTTGGATGAAATATTATGCCTGCTTATTGTTTAAAATAAATAAAGGGGTTAAAATAAAAAGGAGTTTTTATTAGAAATGTACTACGTATATACTTAGTGTTCAAATCTGTTTAATACTCCATATTAAATAACATTACAAGAAGCCATTTTAATTACATATAAAAAACGATGTGTCCAAAGGTGTGTTGACAAGAAGTCAAGAACTTCCAGAACATTTTTTGGGTTTTTTTGGAAGAAACAATTTTTTTTGGAAAATTATATATTCAAATAATATAAATGTATATATATATACTCACAGTTACTTCACTGTTTTTTTATTAAGTTATTGAAAAATAACTTCAAAAATGGAAAAAAATTAACAGAAAACTAGATCCACATAATTGGTGCGTGCATGTGTTCGTAAGAAATACAACGTCATCACAAATTATAAACCCATACGGGATAATTAAATTAGTGTGGAGCATTGGTCGTAGATCTGCAAGATATGTAGCTTTTGTGTGTTGTGTCTCAAAGAAAAATCCATTTAGTGGTGGGTTTCAGATCTTACCGTTGCCATGTAATCATGGCGCGGTGTTACGCCGGTTAATGTCGATCGACGGATGGTAGTTGCTGGACGCCGGAATTTTCGCTGACAATTGGTGTGTCTTTTCCGACCACCGGTTACCTTGCCCAGTTGCCGGCACTTGGATAAACGACGGTACAATCGCGTTGTAATTCGTGGGAGAGAGTGGTCGTACGTGGTTTCTGTCGGCAAGAGAAGTGAGGGTTTGAGAAGGGTGTCACTTTCAGATATGGTTTATATAGGTCCAGTTAATGGGTTTAGTTTTACTATTTTTTGGGCTACTTTGGACGGGCCAGTATAAATGGGCTCTAAGTTGTCATTTTTTTTAATGTTTGTGATTATTTGGATTATTATTAAATAAAAGGGGGAATGGAGACGGGAAGACCTTCTGAAATCCAACCTAGAAAATACGGAGTATACATGTGTAGTGTTGGAGGTGAGCATGGGTAAATTCCAATATTCTAGAATTTGTATGCGGAGTATGGATCATTTGTTTTTGAATATATATGTATCAATTTATGCTTCCTAATTTTCTCTAATCAAGTAAACATTTTACCCACTAAAAATGAAAATGGTATGAGTAATGGAGTAATCCGTTTCAGAACTCATATTTTTAACTTATAAATTAACTTTATTGCTAAATACGAAATTAATGATTACATGTAATAATAAAATTAGTAAATTTTGATTTATAATTTATTTATTAGTTACAAATATGAGTTATCAAACGGAGGCAAAAAGAACTACATAGTACGTCACTATGGGTGGATTAAATGTGTTTTGAAATTAAATGTGTTTAAAACCCATTATTTCATTTAGGGATTCAACTCACTTTTTTTGAAACTTTCAACTCATTTATTTAAAATAGTAGAAAGACTTTGAACATTTTTTTGACAAATTTACATTGAATTGTAGTTTAAGAATGTTTTTATCTAACTTATTTCAGTTCCAAGTCAGAACAACCAGACTAGACTTAAACATATCAAACCATATCAGACAAGATTTCAACATTTATAAAATATACATAGACCAGACATCTACCAGACCAAACCAAACCAGACCAATTCAACCCAAATTAGACCAAATTAGAAACATTCAATCCAATAAAAAACACCCTACGAATGACATAAGTATGTTCACATATCTGCACCCGTGTCCAAATTAGACATATCTGCATCGCACAGGTGTTCTAAAAAACTCATGATCACGGATGATAGGAACTCAGTAAGGATTTTAAACCGGTGGGCGTAGCTCAACTGGTAGCGAGGGAGTGCCACAAGGATTATGTCCCGGGTTCGACTCCCGACAACTGCGATGAGAGGGCCCTCAGGGATGGGGTGATTATAGTCCAATTTACATCCTCTCATCGTGTCGTCCAGTCGGTGTTGGGCGCCCTCAGGGATGGGGTGTCATCTTTTTTTTTTCAGTAAGGATTTTAAGGTTGTGTTTGGATGGATGTACTTAGGCCTGGACTCGGGCCGGGCGGCCCGCCCCAGAACCGGCCCGGCAAGGGACCGATCCGGGTAGGACCGACCCGTTGGGGTTCCGGTTCGGGCTCGGGCCCCTCAAAAAGGTGAACCGGCCCGGCCGGTTCGGACCCGGTCAAGGCCAATTTATTTATTTTTTCTTTCTTTCTTTTTTAATTTTTTAAAGTTTTTGTGTTGGGCTGGGTATTTTGGGCCATTTGAGGTGGTTTGGGGTGGTTTGGGGGTGAGGGGGGAGGGTTGGGGGTTAATTAGGAAAAGAAAAAAAAACATAAATTGAACCGAGGCCCGGGCCAGTTCTGGGCCTCCCCTTTCATGAACCGAGGCCCCGCCGGGCCCAAGCCCGAACCGGGCCCGAGTCCACCCCTAGATGTACTTAATGAGGCAATGAAAGACACTATTTTTCTAGCTTTTCGCAATTTTCAATGTGGAGCTTGAGAGGTGCTGGTGGTTGGATTGTCATAGTTAAAATTTATGGGGTAGTGATATACTCCCTCCGTCCCGTAAAGATGTTCCCGGTTTGACCTACACACATATTTAGGAAATAAATTTGACTTTACTGTTTAGACACTGTTTGGCACTGTTTAGACACTGTTTAGCACTGTTTAGACACTGTTTTGCACTGTTTGACACTGTTTTGATGTAGGATAACTTTCCATTTAGGGAAAGGGGAACTTCTTTTTGGGACTAATAATGTATTATCTTGGGACTTATGTGTAATTTTCCTAATTACGTTTTATTATAAATATCAGCATATGGCACCCAATAGGGTAAGCCATTACTTCCCAATTCTATTGTTTTGTATAGGGACATCCAAAAAATGAAAGTGGGAACATCTTTGCGGGAGTGAGGGAGTATTTGTTAATTTGTTAAATCTTTTTGTAATATCTACTTTTTAATGCATATACATGCAAAAAAAATCACTTCAAAACTAATGAACACGTTTTCAAAAAATCTTCATTTGCGTTTTGTGAATTATAATTTTCTAATATTTCGAATTTATTTTGTTTTCTGAATCTTTGAAACATAAAGATTCTCATTTTATAAAAAATTGTCTTGATTTTCTCAAAATATTACAATGAGGGCGAAATTCCTGTTAATACAAAAATAATTATATCTTTTAAGAGCATCAAATATAAATCCATGGCTTATTTTTTAGGAAAAGCTATTGAAATTTGAAAAAACATTTTATTGGCATGAAGAAGTCATTCTGGAATCCATTATCACTTAACTTACTTTGTTCATAATGCCCTACCAAAATAGGGAATCTATATGTGTATACATTATAACAGATCTAATAGGTCTATTGGTTCGATATTTTTCAACGAGTATAAAAACTAACTTTATTTTTCCAAAATTAATAATATAATAGGGTTTAATAATAGGCGGATGAATGGAAGTTTGGAGTACATGTGGTATGGACTATGGATTGGAGAGGATGAGGGTAACTGCTAAGGAGGCGGAGGTTTTTCCATCTAGAATGGCAACCAATATATAACGCATATCAGTTTGTTTCACCATTGGGCATACAATGCCAATATTTTTTATGATCCGTTTATTTCCACCAATTTTTGATATATTGAGAATCGGACGTACTTTTAATGTATTCAGAGTAAGGGATTCCATCAAGTGGTTTTATTAATAGCCTATTTCATATTTTAATGAAAATGCCTTTGATTTTAGTGGATATCAATTTTTTGTAATTAAATTTGAGAAGCACGGGTAAGTGGGAGTGTTTAATGATAATTTTAATTTGTATGGTCAAAAATTTATGAATGGTTATATTAATTTAAATAAAACGCCCTCTTGAGAGAATTCCAGGGAATTCTTCTATATTGGTCTAAAATGATCTTATCGGAAGTGTGTGTTACAATAAAATTTGGTACAATGCTTAAGGGGAGTTGTACATATTTTTGAACTAAGAACTACTATAGATCACTACAAAAAAACATCGTTATAGTCACGGATTTTAGTCACGGATTTGGTCCGTGACTAGTTTAGTCACGGTCTAGTCACGGACTAGTCACGGATATATTAAAAAAAAAATAGTCACGGTCCAGACCGTGACTATGACCGTGACTAATGGTAGTCACGGTCTGGGCCCGTGACTTAAGTCCTCCGATAGGCCCGTTTCCGTTTCCGGCGAAGTTTATTTCACTCCGACGACTTAGTCACGGCCACATCCGTGACTATACCCGTGACTATAATTAAATTTTAATTTTTTCAACTCCCTTAACTTAATGCGCAACGGTATTATGTACGGATAACTTTAGTCACGGCCATGTCCGTGACTAGTTCCGTGACTAATTAGATTAACACGTCATTAACACGTCGTTAACACGTGTTGGACGCGTATTGGACACGGTTTTGCTTAGTGACGGACAAATCCGTGACTAAGTCCGTGACTAAATTTTTTATATATGCAGACGCAGCTCATTGAACAGAACCACAGCAATTCATTCCCAGTATATACAGTATCCGTTTGAAAGATCGAAGGATGTAGTCTATCTTCTATCATTTTTCCTGTTTATGCAGATAAGGTATGTTATTTGAATTATAATTTTTATTTAGAATTAGTTGGTTCAATTTAAATTATTAAAACTATTAAATTAGTGAGGTTGTTAATTAATTAACAACATGTTTTAACTATAAGCGTAGTAATGTCATAAATTAGAATTAGTTAAACTTTTAGGTTTATAAAATAATTTAATTAAAATTAGTTAGCTAAATGTACGTAGTTTAAAACGTAATGATGTTTATGTTTAGTGAAATTAGTTCAAATAACATACGTTAGTAATGTGTTAATTAAGTGAATTGTGAATTGTTATTGTGAATTGTGTATTGCTTATTAATTCAAATAACTTTATATACATGTTCAAATTATTGGGTTGAATTTGGTCATATTATTTAATTTAGTGAATTGTTAATTGTGTATTACTAATAAGATTAAATGTCATTAACGTAATAATTTAGTGTAGGTTTAAACTAAACGTAGGTTTACAAAAATAATTTAATTAAAATTCGTTTGCTAAACGTAGGTTTGAACGTAGCTATTGATGTGTTAATTAAGTTAAATTAGGTAGCTAAACGTAGGTTTAAACGTAGTGATGCATTAAAAGGGGACGGAATGAACTAGTTAAATTTAGTTAAATTTAACTAAATGAATTAGTTAGATTTAATTAAACGTATGTTTAATTTAGTGAAATTATCTGCATTATTGTGCATTAGGGGACATATATTTTGTGCATTATTGTTGTGAATTCTGTGCATTTCATTTAAAAAAAGTGAAAATTAGTTGATTATATTTAGTGAAATAAATTACTTAAAATTGTGTGCATTGCATTTCATATAATTTTTTATTATAATATTCAGGCATAATGTATAAACAAAATAGAAGTTGGATGTATGATAAAGATGTGGTATTGTACGGAATGCAATCAAATTTTCTCGAGGGAGTCGGGGAATTTATTGAATTTGCACTTGAACATCCGGCTTATATGAGTGGTGATAAAATAAGATGTCCATGTTCAAAGTGTAAAAATCTCAAATTTAAAGACCCACACGAAGTTGGGTATGATTTGTACGCGGTCGGTTTTGTTCCCAATTATTATAATTGGACTTCTCACGGCGAACCTTTGGATCCATCTGTTATACCACAAACGGTAGGTTCGTCTCGTTACGTCCCTCCAGAGATGAGTGCGTGGGGAGACCGTGCTG